AAATGCTACTCTTAGCAAAAGTTAGAACAAATTTACAACTATTATAGATCTTTATGAGTTTTTCAATATTCTAAGTGTAGAAATCTCATGTGATTCTAACATGAATTATAGAAGTAACCATCCTATGTATATGGAAGAAGTCTAGAATCTATACCAAAAAATTGTTCAGTTGAAAGAAACAAATAGATCAGCATCACAACCAAATTCAAGAAGTCTTGCTTCTATAAGTACTAAAGATGCAAGGATTAGTATGCTTAAGAAGTTTGATGGAATTAGATCAAAATTTTAAGGATTTCTACAATAAATTAAGATCTACTTTAAGTTACATCTTTTCCAATATTGCAATAGATTTACTCAAATTGGATTTGTAGATGCAATTTTATTGAGAAGTGTTTTTATCTTCATTTATGCTTTTGATGAAAAAATAATCATGACTAATCTATAATTTAAATTCATTCTTTGAAGTATTTATGGCTACATTTAAAGAAAGTAATTGAAAAAGAATAATAAAGATCAAGTTCATATTACTATGACAAAGATTACTTTCAACTAATATATAGGCTGCTATATAAGTTTCTTTAATTACAATAGAAATCATGTGGCTAGAATCTTACATAACATTAAGAAAAGATCTTATTCTCTACTTAAATCCTTAACCTTATTTCACAATAGAAGTTTTTTTAGGACCTAAAAATCACAAAGTCTTAGTCTTATTAGATTTGAGAGTCTCATCTTGTTTTATAGACAAAGACTTTGTAAATAAATAAGAAATATTATTAATCAAGAAACTAAACTAGTATATATAGAAGTCATAGTTGGTTATTTATTATCTTTTAAAGATGTTATCTATAAGACTATTCATTTAGATGTAGCAATTAAAGTTTATAATAAGATGATAATATTTAATATAATAAGATCTTTTTTTAATCCAATTATTTTATGATTATCATGGTTGAAAAAATATAATCCTCAGATATATTGGATTTCTTATGACCTTAACTTTTCTTATAATTTGATCCAAAATTTTATTAGTTAAATAAAAATACATAAGTCTAATACATCCAAATCCTTGATGTTAGATACAAAAGCTTTTATGCATGTGGCAAAAGAAAGGTCAACTTTTATTAAATATGCCAGACCTATTTTTGATAGTGAAAAGATATCAAGTGATATTTTTAGATAAAATTAAGCTTTCTAAGATATTTTTAATTATATATATATATATATATATATATATATATATTTATATGTATATATAAATATTCTTCTAAAGTATCAATAGTATCATTGTTCAATTGATTTATAAAAAGAAACTCAACTATAATTCAAAGCAATTTATAACTTATTGCAAAATGAATTGGCTAAATTAAAGGAATATATTAACAAAAACTTGGCTAAAATTAAATATGCGATTTAAAATCTCTAGTAAGATTTTTTATCTTATTTATAAAGTGAAACAATAGAGCTTTGCAAATATACATAGACTATTAGAAACTTAACAAGATCACGATCAAAAATATATATCTTTTATTTCTAATTTTAAGATTTCTTGACCAACTCAATTAAATAAAGATCTATAGAAAAATAGATCTACAAGGAGCATACAACTCAGTCAGCATTAAAGAAAGAGATGAATAGAAGACTATTTTTTAAACTAAATATGGATATTTTGAATATATTTTCATTTCGTTTGGACTCATAAATGCATCAATTTCTTTTATCATATCTCATAAATAACATATTTTGTGAATTTTTTGATGATTTTATTATTTGTTGATAATTTTTGATAATTTTACATGTAGTAAATGAGTTATTTTTTTTGAAGTTCAATTTCATTTTAAACGTTTTTAATTATTTAAATAAGTTTTTATTGAACCCAGTCAATGATATATGATGCCATTTTTATTTTATTTTTCCTCAATTTTATTGAATTTCAAAAAAGTAAACTATTAATATGCCACAAGCCAAATTTGTTTTTCCGATGTAAATGTAAATGTGGAACACTCTCAAAACTAAAACAATTTTGCCACAATTTCATTATAGTGGTTTTTGTATTTTATATAAAAAAAAACATAGTTACAAAAAAAAAATCAATAAATTCTATTCTGTTTTTATAGATATCACTTTTTATATTAATGCATTAGAATAGAAAAATAGAGATTTTATAGTTGTCTGGGGTTTTTAGAATGTGATTTTTTTATTAGAGTTCTTAAGAATCACAAGAATTTTGTTTTAAATTTTCAAAATTTCAAAAAGAAATTATTAATTTAATTTATATATCAAAATCTGAAAGAACATTATCAAAGTTCACGAAAAAATATAAGAATTGATAACAGTAATTTTTAAAATTATCATAAAATTATATATATATATATATATATATATATTGGAATATTTCCAAATCATTGATAGTGACCTCAAATTTTTGTAGTTACACATGCACAAGTTCTGCAATTGCATCAAGACTCATTCTCAATCTTGTGCTTCATAATTTAGAGTTACACACTTAAGAATAAAATTCTGTATGTCAACATATGTGATCAGCTAAGAAAAATATTAATAAGATGTTACATAATGTATCAATATAATTATTATATTTCTTACACATGAAGGTTTATGTAATACTGTAAAGTTCAAGCATATTTATGTGTTTACAAATGTTAAAAAAATAAACTAATCAAGTATTGAATGTCTAAACCCTAAACCCTAAACCTGGTCCAACGATGCATCTCTTGCAGGTGTATTATTGGACCACCAAGAAAGGAATTCTGAACTTTCCCAGCATACACACAGCCTCACTGACATCATTCTTATTTGAGCCTGTGTCATGGATCCACAGCATATGAAAATTTGAAAAAATAGTATCAAAAACCATCAACACCAACAGTTGCCATTGCACAATGTTCTAGGCTTGTGATCATTCCACTACGACTCATATTGTTCATTAGAATTGTATTGTGCTTATTGATATGAGCATTTTAACTTCAGTATGATCAGTTTGAAGAGCACATCAGTAAATGATGAAATGAAAGTTAAATCTATTGATTTTCATTTGACGAGTGCTGGTGTTGTTTGATTGACATAGGGTTTATAGATTCCAGTATTATTCTCATGAGATCTGGAATGGTTTATTTATCAATATTTATTATTAAGATATGTCTGTAGTAATGGATTTTGCAAGCACAGACTGAAATAGGGATGGGGAATGAATGGGGTGGGATAACCAGTGTTCACATTAGGTGCTGTGACAGACATGGATTTTTGTCATCAACGTCAGGTCATTGCTAGTTGTGGCAAGGACAACATGGTCAGGCTATGGAGCTGTGTCACACCATCATGCAGAGTGGCCATGAGGTGGGTTTTACTGAATACTTGTAACTATAAATTATCCCACGCCCTTTAAACAATTGTCAAAGCTTAGCTTGTGGTGCACTGAATCTTTCCTTCCAATAGCTTCATGTAAAGTATGCTTAATAACATATACACAGTGTGCAACAAAGAACAACCTCACTCTTCACTGCAGTGGGTACCATCTCATAATTATAATATGTGGTTCATCTAAACTTATGAGGTCAGACACTAGAAAGAAAGTTGGGTCTCAAAGAGTTTTCCTATGTAGCCTAGGCACAAAGTTCTCGCTAGTTTCCTTACATTCCAGCATTTAAACCTTCACAATATGACTGGTTGTTGCTCTCAAAACATAAATACAAGGGGTTTTAATATTCAGGGGAGATGGTAACAACATTACAAATTTTACATCTTGTTATTGGCTGAAATTTAGAAGTTTCTTTTGGTTGGCTTTATACTTTAAGAAATTTACAAGTTAGAATTATAAAAAATGAAAAATAATCAAGTTAAGAAGGAGAAATGCAATATGTTTTTATGTATTTCAAAACTATAATATTCTAAATGATGACACTCAAAATAATTATGCAAGCAGGTATGAGGAGGAGCCCATTGCAGTGGCCATCTTCCAGTACCTTCTGATAGTGGCATTCCAACACAGAATCATGTGTTATTGCTTGCTGGCTCATACGTATGGTCATCTCTTCTTCCTTCAAATCTGTTTTCTTCCTTTACTCAATATTCATTCTATGGTGGTCTTCTCCATTTATTTTTTCACGGTTTATTTTTTAAATTGTGTAATTTTTTCACACCAAGATAAAGTGATTCCACCAATAACATTTGCATCAGATAAAAATGTATAAAACTATTATTATGAATGTATGAATTCATTCTTGCCATCCACTGGGATAATAAATAAATAACACGTGGATAATTTAGTTCATGAGGCTATGGTTCAACACATGAACAAGTTTTTTTTTTTTTTTTTTTTTTTTTTTTTTTAAAATAAGTAGTGTTAATGAGTGATACAAGTTTTGGCTTGGGTCGATGTGGTATAATTGAACTGATACCAACTTACATGGATTAATATCCATGTGTTATTTATATATATATATATATATATATATATATATTCTGCATGTATATCAAAAATAGAAATTTAATTGTGTTTATTATTTAAAAAATACATGTTTATTTTCTTATCATAAATGTATATATTAAATCAAGGCCAACAAGTTGTTTTTAACACTCCTTTCATTGAAAAGATATCAAATGTACATGTTGGCTTATTCCAAAAGAAAGAGTAATATTTAATCAATGATTGATTGTCCCATAAAATGATACTTTTGAAAACACCAGTGGGTTCATTTTAAAATTTTTAGGTAGTTGAAGAAGAGATTAAATTATTATTTACATATTGAATATTTTATTCAATATCTTCTTCTGCTTCTTCTTCTTGTGCTGTTCACATGTACATAATACCCCCCTTTTAACCTCACAATTTTTTGAATAAACTTGGATTTAAGTGAATGGTTGTAAAGGTGTGCAACCAGGACAAGTAATGAATCTTAATTCAGGACACTCCTCTGCACCTGCTGGATACTGAGAAGAAGCCCACATCCCGCCAGGTGCTGCCAGAGATGTTTGCTAATGACACTGTGGACCCTGCATCCCCCAACAAGGTCTATGCCCCTCACTCCATCCCGCAGCGCATGGGGACTAGCTTCTGCTCTTCAATCTTCAGGTACCTGCTTCTCTCTCATTGTATGCATCTTGTTGTATGGTACATGCAGACTGTATTCTACTGCATATATATATATATATATATATATATACTTTACCCAACTTGAATACCCACACTTCCAATAATTCATTAAGTACCTCAAGAACCTTCTGGAGCTTAGGGAAGAAAAATACCAATCTTCAGAGAAAAACCCCATGGATTGTATTGCATTTGTTTTTGTTCAGTTTGCTGTGTGCTTTCTGGTTACAGAATATGTTAGTTTCTAATGCAGCAGATCAAATCTGTAGGTGTCAAAATAAAAAAATAAAGTATGTGGATGCATTGGCAGGCCTAGCATTACATATGAAATGAAGCCAAGGGGGGCAACCCATGTGGCAGCTATATTTAGAAGGGGGTTGCTGATTGCAGTCACAAACACTGGGTACCTCTTGCTCTACTCATTTCCATTAGGCAGGGACCAAACTATGCCTCTCTCTGAATGGACCATAAATGCTGGTTCGTTGCACTTCTCCCCCCCCCCCCCAACACACAACTCCTGTTCTACTTTGCTCACCACAAGTGCAGAGTCAGAACCCTAAAACTTGCTGTCCAGTTGCAAAAGGAAGGAGGAAACCCTAACCCTCAGCATGCAGGTTTACAGCATTAGCTTCCTAGAGCTTTTCATGTGCCTGTTAGAGTTGCCCCTTCTGTCCTTGGGTGGATGGAGGTTGTTAGAACCAGGGTTTAGGGCTCCTAAATCCAAACACAACACCCTACACCTAATCAAGTACCACAATTGCATCCTTCTCCTACTGCTGCTGTTTGTATTGGATAACAATCAAAGCCAATGCACAAAGAGACAGTTTTCTTGTAACTTCTGCAGTAGACCCTGGTGTTCTAAAAATGCATGAAGTGTATGATATGTGTGTTTATGTTTCTCTCTGTGTGTGTGTATGAATGTATATATATATACATATATATTTCATATGCATGTATACATGGCAACACTAACACTTCTGTTCTAGGGGCACCTGAGTTGTAAACACAAATGGGATTGTATCACCTGCTGTTGTTATTTTTTTGCTTTTTCATTTGGATTAATAATCAAATTGAGTGTTATGGTTGGGCATGTAACCAGGGGTCATCAGTAAGTTGCTTGTGGATGAGATGAATGGCAGAGTCATGATGGCATCATTGAATGGGTCCATCAGCATTTTTGGCATTGAGGCCCTCAACCTGTTGTCAAACCCACCAACACAGCAACTGTGGGTTGGTGGTAGTGGTGCTCCTTCCTTTGTATCAGTTGCCCAATGCTCCTGGCCTGAGATGGGTGGCTCCAAGTATTTGGACATTGATTTCATTTTGCGCTCTGAAGAGAGGGATGCCACACTGGAAGCTCAGGTGCAAATCTCTCACTCTGCATGTTCAATCTATACTCAGAACAGTTATTGCAATACTTGTACCATATTGATAGTATTGTATTCTGTTTAAAGAAATACTTATATTATTCACACTAATATGCTTGTTTGTCCTAGTAGCACAAGAAGATCACTTCCTGAAATCACATTTGAAGCTTTGTAAGTATAAACTTAGACTGTTGTTAACCCTTCATCTCTAATTGATATTGTTACACCCCGCATGAACTCCCACTAGACAACTAGCTATTAATATGCCTCTTTCTTTTGCACATTTTTTCCTTTCTTTGGTATAAGAGAGGGAGATAGTGGATATTTCACAAAAAAATAAGTTGCAAGTTATTTTTTTATAGAAAATGAATATTTGTTTTTAAAAGAATTAATTCAAAATTTTGTTTTTTTGTTATTATTATTATTATTATTATTTGGCTCCCAAAAATATCAAGAACTTATTTTTCAATTTATTCTTTTCTGGGTCAATATTGGAGTGAAATATTAGACTGCCAAATGCACCCTAAGCATAGAAGTACATTTTTTTAGTCAATTTAAATCATGTGGAGGTGACATGGGATGCAACAATATCAATTGGAGATGTAACATTAACAGTTTTTTAAATTTAACAAGCTAATGTACATATGCAAACATGTATACACATACATATACACTTTATTGATATATTACATAATATTTTAAAATCATCCAAAATACTTCAACTTCAATTGTAATTCTGATATTAAATTAATTATATTCAATTAACAAATAGAATTAGATATTACAATATATTTTTTTATTTTTACTTTTTAAATATTTAAAATAAAATAAGATGTTCAATCATGAATATCATGAAAGATGTCTGTATTTATATTTGAATTTTATTTTTATTATAGAATGGCAATATCGCAATGTTTTCGGTGATTTTGAAATTCTTGGGCAGCATAGTACAGTGAGCTATTTATCCAGTAAATTGGATTTGAGGAATTGATTGTAAGTTATGCTTTAAATGTTTATCCAAATACTGTTCTTGGTGTGCCATTCTCTCTTTTTTTTTTTTTTTTTTTTTTTTTTCTTTGTGGGAAGGTGTTATTGTTGCTAACCAAATTTCATATTTCATGGTTGTTCATTGCAGTGAAGGTAAAGTTAGAGATTATATCAGGTAAAAGGTGTGGAGATTACATTCTAATTAGCATGAAGAAGTGCATAAAAAACTTAAAGTATAATGAATGGCATTAGCAAACTATTCTTATCACCCTACCAAACAAACAAAGAAACAAACAAATAAAATCCTTTAAACGATGACCATTGACATGTAAAGCCTACTTTTGCAATACCTTCACCTATGCATTTCACAATCTATAACATAGCTGCACATGCCACATGAATATCTGATGTTTGATTAGGATGTTGGAAGTTGGGTTGATTTTGGGGTCATTATATCTAGAGGTCTATTTTGAAAAGTCATGGTAGATTTTTTTTCCAAAGGTTTTCTACATGGTGAAAAAAAGTCTTTGTTAGAAGTCAAGGTTTTTGAATACAATATAAAATAAAAATAGATCATGAAAAGGATCAATTCATTCTTCTGTTGTAAATCCCAATATATTATTTTATATCTTGATTCTCTCTCTCTCTCCAGATATATATATATATATATATAGATACATATTATCTATGAAAAAAGATTAAATTTAAAATCCAAAACTTGTATGTATGAATATTATTTTAAATATTTATTTAAGAGTATTAGGAACATAGTCCTTAGAACCTTCTAGAGACAAGTTTCTAGAATCTTCTAGAGACAAGCTTCTAGAACCTTTTAGAAGCAAGTCTCTGGAACCTTCTAGAAGCTTCTTAGTTGGTAGAAGATGTTAGGGACATAGTCCTTAGAACCTTCTAGAGATAAGTTTCTAGAACCTTCTAGAAGCAAGTCTCCGGAACCTTCTAGAAGCTTCTTAGTTGGTAGAAGTTGCTTGAGAAGTTTCATAAATAGAAGTATATATTGGAATCGAGGCTGAAGAGTTCTTCAGTCTCGACAACACATCTCTTAGAGCTCTAGCTCACCTCTCTGGTGTTGTTCTTGTATTCATCTGATTAATATAGTTCTTGCCAGTTCTTCTTGAACTTCTTCTTAGATCTCAAGTCTGTATTTCTATGTCCATGATAGTTTGTCGAGACTTTGCTCACCTCAAATATCAGAGCTAGTTTCTTCTTTGTTAGAGTGTGGATTACCCCTCTACTTGGAAGTGTACTAGCATTTTAGAGGTTGCGGATTATCCTCCTCTAAACCAATATTGTCTTCTTGTAGAGTCATTTCTATCCTTCTCTTAGAATGGCCAAAGGCCAAGACATTAGTATGACGAAAAGTTCAGAGTCCAAGTTAGATGCTATCATGAATGCCCTTGCTACGTTATCGCAAAAAATTGCAGAGATTGAAGGAGTCGTGGCAAGGCTTCATAATAATGGAACATCTGGGATGGCACAAGCTAGGTTGCACCAGCCTCAAACTTTTGCACTTGGAGAAGCAACTTTGCCTCAGGTTCGACAAGCACCACTGGTTCTACAACATAAGGAGTCCCGAGTTAGCTTTTCGGACAAGTTCGATGGTACACGTTCCAAGTTTCGAGGATTCGTCAACCAAATCAGGTTAATAATAGTTTTACAGTCCGAACGCTATCCAATGGAGGAGTCATGTGTTGGGCTTATTGGAACCTTACTTACAAGACAAGCTCTATCATGGTTTGCTCCTTTGTTTGAGAAACGATCGTCCATACTAAACAACTTTGAAACCTTTTTGGAGGCGTTTGCGGAAGCATTTGGTGAACACGACAAGGTTCGATGGGCTACAACAAAGATCCGGTCACTACGACAAGGAATGCGTTCTACATCAATCTATGTATCGGACTTCAGGTAATTAGCATGCGACATCAATTGGGATGAAGAAGCGTTGATGAGTCAATTCTATTGGGGTTTAAGGGACGACGTGAAGGATTTGCTGTTAACTCTTCCTGATCCGCAAACGCTCAATGAAGCTATTAGTCAAGCTGTGAAGTGTGATAACTGCCTATTCCAACGTCGCCAAGACCAACGTTCAAGACAACATACCGTTGGCCACATCCCAACTATGTCGGCAAGCAGCGTGAATTCACATTCACAGGTAGAAGACATGCAAATTGATGCGGTACGTGTCAAATCTCTTACTCTAGAAGAAAAAAAGCGGCGCATGGAAGAAGGTCTATGCTTGTATTACGGTGAAGAAGGCCAAAAAGTGGGAAACTGTCCCAAGAAGCAAAATCGACGTATTATCAAGACTAGGGGCACATTTATTCAGGAAAATGAAGATGCCCAGCCTCAATAGGAACTGTGCGGCTGGATAGTGAAATATCGCACCAACAACCAGGTTCCTTTCTTTCTGTTCAACGTGCCCTTTGTTTTACAATCTCTTTGCTTATTGGCCCTCAAAAACTCAGAACCTTAGCATTATTAGATTCATGAGCATCTCCTTGTTTCTTAGACGAGGAAGTTGCAAAGCGTCATAAGATCCCTTTAGTACAAAAATCCAAACCTATTCACATTGAAGTCATAGATGGACGACCTTTATTATTTGGTAGTGTCACCCATGAATCATAACCTATAGAAGTGACGTTTAAGGGCCATAGTAGTCATATTATTTTCAATATTATTAAACCCCATTAAATCCTGTTATTCTTGGTCTTTCCTGGTTGGAAAAGCATAATCCATACATAGATTGGAAGTTGCGGAAGATAACCTTTCTCACAAAACCACCTAAGAGCAAGCCTAGTAGAAAACCCCGAATAGAAAAATCCTTCTTTATTGGAGCAAGAGCATTTATAAGATCGTCCAAGGAAGGCACATTGTTTGTCATTCATGCGACTCTAAGATTGGGACCATTTATCATCCAGAAGCAAATCAATCTAGTGGCGTACCTTCTGGAATTACCGGCTTCAATGAAGGTACATCCAGTCTTTCATGTTTCTTTCTTGGAGCCTTATCGAGAGTTGTCTTTTCTTGGAAGAGTACAATGTCCGCCACCTAGTATTGAGATCGAGAACCACGAGGAATACAAGGTTGAAAAGGTACTGGATTCACGGCGAAGGTAGGACAAGTTGGAGTATCTTATTCATTGGTGCGGCTACGACATTAATGAGCGAACGTGGGAGCCAGCTGAAAATCTCGCTAATGCGCCGCAAAAGGTACAGAAGTTTCATCAACAACATCTTCATAAACCTAAGCCGGTTCGATGATAGCTTCTTTTTGGAGCTTACTCACCTAAGAATATAAGAAAGGAGGAGAGCACCACCAAAATTCGTAGTTGATGTAGTTATTTTCTCCAAGATAAAATAACATTTTTTCAGTAGCCATAGTTTAGTCTTCTGATATGGATAGCCAAGAGATAGATACTATGCCAGTCAGATTATCTCAACGAACTAGCTCACGAAGGCGACCTCGAGATAAAGAACCACCTGCACCACGACGATGACGGAGGATACCAAGTAACTGATCACTAGTGATTGTATTTGAGTCCGAGCCTACTTACGATGGTGTTAGGGATATAGTCATTAGACCTTTTTAGAGACAAGTTTCTAGAACCTTCTAGAAAGAAGTCTCTAGAAACTTCCAGAAGATTCCTTGAATATTCTCTTAGAATATTCTTTAAATATTCACTAAAGATTCTTTAAAGATTCCCTAAAGATTCCTTTAGAAGGCTCTAGAAGATTCTTAGAATATTCTAGTAGATTCTAGGAAGTTATTTGAGAAGCTTCCTAGCTCTTGGGTAGTTGCTCGAGAAGCTTCCTAGCTCTTGGGTAGTTGCTCGAGAAGCTTCATAGTTCTTGGGAAGCTTCTTGATGCACTTCCTTAGAACCATAGGCTAGTAGTATATATAGGAGTCGAAGCTGAAGAGTTCTTCAGTTTCGACAATGCATCTCTTGAAGCTCTAGCTCAATTCTCTTGGCGTTACTCTTGTACTCATCTGATAATCTAGTTCTTGTCATTTCTTCTTGAACTTCTTGTTTAGATTTCTTGTTTGTATTTTTGGTCCGTGACAGTTTGTCGAGACTACCTTTATCTTAATATCAGAGCTGAATCCTTCTTGTTTGAGAGCGGATTACCCCTCTTCTTGAAGGTATTCTAGCGCTTTAGGGGTTGCGGATTACCTTCCTCTAAACTGATATTTTCTCAATCACAATATCAGAGCTTAGTTCTTTGAGGCAGAGAGTGGAGTACCCCTTTCCTTGGAGATATTTGAGCGTTCTAAGGATTGCGGATTACCCTCTCTTGGACTGATATTAATTCCTTCTTTTTGTT